TTGCGAACCCCATTGATAAGAAATAAATATTGGTGGAAGACGTTTAATATCCATTGATATATCATCTGGTATAAGTTCACCAGCAGCTGTCAGAGCTTTACGAATAATTTCTTCGACATCTGGTCGGCCTATATCGTGTAAAACTTTTAAAAGCCCATATATTGCTTCATCAGTTTTATGTGTCATGAACCATTCATTAAGTAAAGACATTGATGGATCAGTTTGCATAGCCCAAGGTTTTAATTCACTTGTTGAATAACCAAAACGTTTACCAAGTAAACGCCAATCATTATCAACACGAATATTAAGAAGTTTACATACATCATGACCCCATTCAGATGGAACATAACTTAATGCTTTCATATCAATACGTTCTATTTCTTGAGGGTGTGGGTATGGGTGTGGGTGTGTGGGTGTGGGTGTGGGTGTGGGTGTGGGTGGGTGTGGGGTGTGGGTGTGGGTGTGTAGCTGTGGCTGTGAGTATGAATAAAATACCCACACCCACTACCCATACGCACACCCCGTGCAGACCTTGCTTTTAAACATTTACCAGCTTCGATTATTTTAGTTCCGTCAAGAAGTTCCATGACACTTTGATCATTTTCGTCAAAACTGCTTTCAACATCTTCCATGATTTGTTTAATTGCATCATCATTTGCTTTTATTTCAGCATTTATCTCTGCATGCATTTCTTCATTTTCAGATACAATCTGCCTTCCCCATCGACCCACATAATCATATTGTTGGTTATCATCAATGAATGAAGCGTCAAAATAACCCCCAACTTGGAAACCAATGCTCAAAAATCGTAATGCAGGCATTATAAACTTGATGATCAGACCCATTAGTTTTTTTTTATGTGAAGAAAAGAGACTGCAGGTGAACGTATCGCAAAGCACAAATATATATTTATATAGATTAATGCAATATGACTCCTTGGAGTACATATGAATGAACACTTATTTTTCCTCTCTTTGATCATAGCTTCTACACTTTTTGATTTACGACAAAAGTATAAGAATATTTGATATCCTTTCAAAGTATGCTTGAAGAGAGTTTATTCATCTTACTTAAGATTTATTCAAATAGGTAATGATTTGATATTGAGGATCACTATTCAATAAAACAAAATATGCACTTGAAAAGAAAATAAGAGGACCACTATTCACGTGAAGAGATATGATCAGGTCTTCGTGCATCAAAATTTGTTGCCAAAGTGAAAGTCAGTGTAAATAGAAAAAGCACAGCCACGTTAATCTTAGTCTTTTCTTTTCAATACTAGATCGTGTCAAGATAATTCCTACAGTATCAGAGTGTAGATACGAAGTTTTTCTCTTGACTAATGTGGAAGCAAAGTAACAAGGATATACAAAATATACGAGTTAACCACACTGTAAAAAAAGGCTAGAATAAAAAACAAAAAAGAGTTTATAGAAATGCCACGTATAAAGAACCTTTTTTGAGGTTTTATTAAGGGTGTGGGTGTGCATGTGAAATAATAAAACATCCACATCCGCACACACTCACACTCAAACTATATTGGTTCAAATGGTTAAGGATAAGTTGCATATACTTCTGTATGTAGCTCACTTTATTCATGCTTTAAATATGATGTTCATTGCTTCTTTTACTCCTTCTAACCAATGATATAATGAGCAAATCGATTGTCTAATTTTAATTCGAAAAGAGATGACATCTTGTGTACATGTTTATATTATGGATGGTGATTTATATGGTGGAGACTGAAAAAAAGCATTTACATTCAGAATGTCGAGGTTTCCATAAAGGAGAGAGTGAGAAGCAGCAAAATTTACTCGATCAGACCAAAGGGTGTTCAGTAATAAAGATTTTCTTGTATATAAACATCTTTTTTTTTTGTGTCACATTTCAGTACAATATTGCAAAAGAAAAATAAGATTTTTAATTGTTCCCAAATTCATCTTTATCAAAGATCTTCTTGAATTCCTCATTTTTCCATTGATCAATCGAAACAAACCAAATATGTTCAAAAGAATATCTTATTAATCCTTTCGAACCCATCATTGGTGAGTTAAGTGCCTTTCGAAAAACTTCACCAATACGCTTAACATCATTTCCAAATGCCCCAGTACCAATGGGTCCAAGTAGAAGATACGTGTTTTTTCCATCACCAATTGTATTGGCAACAGCTGCTGCTATAAACGCACGAAATTTTGCTAAATTCTTTTTCTCCCACTATAACATAAATCAATATTAAAATAAAATAAGTCATTAGAATATCATTTCAATAGTTACATCATCTTTGTTTCTTGGATTTTGATAAAGTTCATGTCCAGCCATACAATAACAAGCAGATACTAACGTATCAGCTTTTCGATATTCATTCGATGATGACGATTTAAAAATTCGAATATTACGAACATAAGCTAATCCAAATTCAGGTATTGCATAACCACCATTCATACGTCCATATTTTAGATCAAGTAATGCACGGTAACCATCAGAATTATAAAGAAGAACTTCTTCTTGTGCTCCTATAAACAAACAGCTAAATAAATAATCGAAAAAAATCGTTTCTTTAATAGAATTTACGTGCATGCCTTAAATATCCACCACCTGGAGATTGTTCATTCTTTAAAATAAAAATAACATTTTATAAAGAAAGAAAAACAAAATTGTTTTACTGCAAAATTCAAAAGAATAATTTGAGCATTTTCTGGTACATCAAAAACTGCTTTTTCAATGCCATTTGTTACGTAAGTTATTCTACCATTATGATTTCGTTCACTAACAGGAAATTGACGAAGATTTTCAACAGCATCCTCATCTGATGGATCATATGGAATTTTTCCGCTTGATTCAGGGCAAAGATTTTCAATTTGATTTACATTCCAGTAGAGTTTAAGTTCTTTTGAATGAAATCCATTTTTTCGAAACTTCTTCATATACTCACGCGATTGCAGTACACTAGCATATCGCTAAAATAAAAATTATGAATCAAGTAAATCTTTCATTTATTCAATTTTTATTCATCTTTGTATTGTTGGGTCAAAAATTTTAGTCGAAAAAATTATTCAAAAGTCCTATCAACGACTTACAGTTTTGACTTTTAATTCAAAATAAGGTTCAGCAGTATTAGATCCGTAATAACGAGCCATTTGATCACAATTTTGATCAGCAATCTTACTATATTTCTTTTCAAGTTCTGCCCAATTTAATGGTTGTCTATTTATATCCACGAGCCATTGTTGAACATTTTGTACATGTTGAATCACTTGTTGATCTATCCCTGTGCTATTTTCTTGAATTTTTTTTTCAATCTCTTTTAGTTTTTTCTTTATTTCAAGCAAAAATATAAGAATCGTACGTTCACCGTAATTAAAACCAGGTTTACGAAATGTTGTTGCAACTGAAACTACAGATTCGATAATTTGTTGTGTAAGAGACTCAAAAGGTACAAAGACAGATGAACGATGTAACATATTTTGGTTATTATTACCCATGGTCATACGTCTACAACGAAGTTCAAAAAAATTCAAAGCATTAATCATGAGCAGTGTTCCGACTGGAATCCGAAAACAAAATGTTTTCGTACACTTTGTTTTACTTACTAAAATGTATGTGTACACTTAGCTTTCGTGAGCAAAAGGTAGCAATGTGTATGGATTGAACTTTGTTTTATAATCTAGAAAAAATAAACCTATTCATTTTTATATCTGTTCAGAAAAATAAAACCTAGGTATAAGATTAAGTAAACAATACATATACAAACAACTATCACTTAATCTGACATAAGTAAGAACATTTCCGAAAAAAGATATATATGAACATTCTACTTTCTCAAAAATCAGTCAAAAGTTCGTTCTTCTTCTTCATGCATGTCTATGTGATCATCACAAAACCATATTGAATCAATATTTATACCAAATATTATTCTACAGTAATTACATAACCATCTTGAACAATTCTCTTTGGCATCAATCTATTGAAATTGTTCATTTTAATTGCCACATTGAATAGTTTCATTTTGGCGTGGACCAGTTTCAGAAACTTCTCGTTTACAACCATTTGCACCTAAACGAGTAAGTAAAAGTAACTAGCAACGGAAGAAGCTTTAACATACATTTGATGTATTTTGATTTTTTTCCATTGTGATAGATATTTGGTATGATGCGCGGATCTAGCAGATGTTGCACATCGTTTTTCAGTACCTTCATCAATGACGGAAATACAATTATGATCAGTTAAAAAATTTAATTATTTATGATCTTTACTTGTAGAAATAAATTCACATTCTGAATCATCTATTAATATTGGTTTTAACACCGTAAGATTATTTTCCTATGAATCTAAACCATGTTCTGCTTCTAACGAAGATGATGAATCACATTTTTTTTACTGAAGATGATGATGAACCACATTCTATTTTTAGTGAGGAAGAACCACGTTCTGGTTCGACTGAAGATGAACCACGATCTGTTACTGAAACTCCATTTTTATTAAACAATTCAATTAAAGTTAGATTAGTTTTAGATACAACTATAGAAGAGCAACATCCTCCTTTGTGTAACATACACAGAACGAAAAAAAAATCTATTGGTGGTTACATATCACCACTATCGTAGAAACATGAAATATCAAATACAGATGTCAGAGAAGAACAAGAAATATTTATTGACAAAAAAAAATTAAACAACAGGATACACTGAATGAATTTGCAAAGCTAAGTTTTTAAAGGGTTTATCTCCACAACGCTGCCTCCATATAAATTCTTCTAAGTAAGTTAATAGTAAAGTTCGCCGTATTCCACTTTGTTTTCTTTGCTTTCTCTAAACTCGCATCCAAGTATTTTCTATATTTTGGGTGTGTACGACGCTTGTTGCGTTAACGAAACCAACAGAGTGATTAACAGTTAAATGGGTGTAATCGGTCTCATTTGCTAAAGGCAAGTATTCTCTCCATTTATCTGAACGCATTGTTGAACCTATGATATAAAGATATGCTCAAATATTACGAAGTAAAAAAAAACTGGTAATATGTAATCTTTATTAATTGGAGTTAGGGATGCAACGGTGACGGTGGTCCACCGGTCCACCGTCCATCGGTGCACCGTACCATCGGTGCACCGTACCACCGGTGCACCGTACCACCGGTGCACCGTACCACCGATGCACCGTATTACCGGTGCACCGTATTACCGGTGCATCGTACCATAGGTTCACCGTACCACCGGTGCACCGTACCACCGGTGCACCGTACCACCGGTGCACCGTACCACCGGTGCACCGTACCACCGGTGCACCGTACCACCGGTGCGCCGTACCACCGGTGCACCGGACCA